GGCACCAGATGTCGGAGGTGTGGCTGCCACCCAGGAGGACACACCTGATGGGGCTCTGGGAACAGGACGATGGTGGAGACGTCACATCCAGAATAACTTTGTTAGGAGACTGAACTTGACAGGAGTTTTACATTGCAGGTATCAAAAAGCCACCTAAAATTGCCTTAATAGAGGTGATCTAATGGCTCAGGAAACCACCAACTCTACGAAGACAGGATAACCTGAAAGTGGGTTTGACCTGGTGTTTTTCTGCCATTCTGTGCACAGCATCAGCTTCCTCCCAAGACTGGCACCGCATAGGACATCGGGTGTTTGCCAGTCCAGTTGAAGCTGTCTGCTTCCTTGCTCACCACCAGCAGAAAGGTGAGCACTATGCCCCGCATTCCAGGTGACAGAGGAGGTTTACATGGGGACTCAGTCACACTTTCTGAGGACTGTACATTTCACAGAAGGAGCCAGGTTATACTAAAGGAGTCCTGGCCCAAGGATACCAGCACCCCATAGAGATGGAGAACCCCAGGGAGCTCAAGGACTGAGGGGCTGAGTAACAATGAGCACTGCCCACAGAGGGGCGCCCTGCAGTCAGGAGGGGTAGGAAACGGGTGCGGATCGGCAGCCGGCAGAGGCCCATCCAGGTGAGCACAGGTGGAGCTGATGGTGGATGGAGACGAAGAGTGTGCTGGTTGGGAGGGGAAGACAGTGGCCTGTAGCTGGTCTGGGAATTCCCAAGCTGAGCAAAGGGTTTGCCAAGGCCTGTGGTTGGGCTTGTTAACAAAAACACCAAACTCTTAAAAAATGATCTGTAAGAGGTATCTTCTGAGCCAATGAGTGACCACAGTCTGGGGAATCTCAAGAGGTCCTGAAAACGTGTGCTGGGGCAGTCGTTTTCTACATTTGAGGGGACAGGAATTGGAGTAACATCCTAAATCCATCCATGGAAGGTGTACATTGACTCGGCCTAACACGGTGGGATATCATGAAACGGCGGGGGGTGTTATAGGTCACAGGTGGATTCAAAGATTTTCCGCTTGGCAATTGGTTGAGAGTTCAGCTTTGTCTAAAGATGTGAAGTTGGTACAAAGGAATGCTTCAGTTCAGAGAGAGCGTCTGCCTCTGCCATATGATGCTGTCCCAGAGTCAGGAAGGAAAGTCAACCACAGCATCCTGGGTCAATTTAAACCCCATTGAAGGAGACTCTGTGGTTTCTAGGGTGTGTGTTAATTCTTGCTTTGCATGGCTCAGGTCTTGTTCATAATCTGTACCTGATTGTCAGAATCCATTCTGAATAATCTCATGATGCCTATTTTATACTCCAAAGGTACAGGGCTTTCATGAGGCTTCTCTCACCTCCCCTTCCATCATGGCCAGGAATTCATTTTTTCAGTTTTCCCTGGGGTCCCCTTGACTAAGAGGGAGCCTGTTCCATTGGTTGGGGTCTCAGGATTGCAGGCCTTAGGGCAGCCTCACAGCACAGTGCAGGGGAGTTGGCTGGATTTTCCTGAACCCTAAACCCCATGGCTCATGGGGTAAGGGAGCTGTGGGCCACCCGGCTTCTGCTGAGATTCCTTTCCCTAGGTGCAGGTGCAGGTTCGGCCTTGGCCCTTTCTGTTCCTTTCAGAAGCCCACAGAGTGGAGGACAGGACGGTTTGGGGTCAGGGACAGAGGCTCCTGTCACTGAGACTGTCCTCAGTGGGACAGAGGGAAGAGACCATTGTTGCAGTTCGTCTGCCTCTCTGCAGCACTGATGTGTAGGCCCAGCAATTCAAGTCTACTCCTGGCAGCCAGCCTTGAACACAGAACTGATCAGCCACACAGAAAACCTGAAACAAAGCCTCTAAAGTGCAGCCTCTCAAAAACGCTCACCAGAGTTTTCTTAATCAGACTTAGTGTAGCCAGTGAGCTTCTGTTGCCTCCTGTGACATGGGTGCTATTTTTCCCACTAAAAGCCCAAACCTCTGCCTCAGGAGACAGGGCTCAGCTGCAGCCTCCTCAACTAAATGTGAAGGGCTACTTCCTGGGCAACTCAGAGGCTCCTTAAACTCCCAGTGGTGTGCAAATCTGTGGGCTCACTTTCTACATCAGATCTTCAAAGGTCACTGTGATTCCAAAAGCTTGGGAACTGTTAAATTTGATCATTTCTGAAATGTCCTCCAGTTTAAAAGTCCTCAGTTCCAGTTCATTTTCAATTCCTGAATAAAGGGATGAGTCCTGGAGCTTCTGGAAGCTGGCCTGGAACTGAGCACTTGCTGCAGACAATGCCCGAAGCGCAAACCCAAAGGCGCGTGGATTTGGGCTGCAGGTGAAAGCTTCATATTCAGGTCTTACTTTGTGACAGTGAGAGGTGACCAGGGAAGCCTACATGAGGGGTGGGGGCCAACCAGCAGCCCAGCCTGGGGAGCTGCCTTAACCACATCTCACCTCACTTCCTCAGAGCTAAATTTTTCTTGAAGGGAATTGCAGATTTATGCAAAATACTAAGCAAGCTGAGTGGCTGTTTTATTTTATTTTAAGCAGTAAGGAAAAACAGAAATTTTCACAACAAAGACCCTGTGTTAGTCTCAGAGGAACTGGTGTCCAGACTGAGGAATCACGGAACACCGCTCTCGGAAACTGTTAGGGCAATTGAAAAAAAAAAAAAAAAAAAAAAAAAAAAAAAAAAAGGATTAATTTTCCCCCTTTTAAAAAAAAAAAAAGGGAAGCAGGGTCCTCTCTCCCTTAGAGCATTTTGTTTGGAAAACTTATTGTAAATCTTCCTCTGCCCCTTTGAGGGGCATGCAAAGCTTTTTGACAGCTAAATAAGCCTCTTGCCAGCTCTGCAACCCAGGACTGTGTTCCTGAAGGACCTGAGAGTCCGTCTTTGAAACATCATCATCAGAGCAGCCAGGGCCCTATCGGCCAGTCTCTGTGGGACGGTGGGGGCCTAACATCTGCTGTGAGTGGTAAATCTACCTCCTGTCATGAAGGCAAGAGTTTATTTTCCTTTGTAACAAGGTAATTAGCAAACGCAGGTGGTCAGGTAAATTGAGGTTGAATCTCCAATGAAACGGGTGTGGCCAAAGGTGCTGTGCAATCCACTGATCTGAGGACTAGGCATTACTCTTCTTGAGAAGGTGTGCAGTGAGCAATGGGTTGGACCCGCTGGCTAGACTGGCAATGAGATTTCTTTCCGTCTTTGCAGCATCTTAGCAGGTCATTGCCTGTGATGCGCATCTCACTCTGAGTTCACGCCTCTTCAATGATGAAAGTGTTTTCTTCCTCTTCTATCTCTGCAGAGAGGCTTCCTGGGATAGATTGTTTGTAATTCTGTTTCCCTACCACCACAGGACGAACTCTGGGGGTCAGGCAGCTGGGAAGGAACCCATGCCTAGGCCTTTCACACTCTACATCCATCAGTAGCAGAACTTAAGAGTCTTCCTGGGACTCTATACTTCCTGGAAAGAGGAATTCATTCTTTTCATTGCTGACATTCCTGGGTGTGTGTGTGTGGCAGTTATACTTTCCCCATCCCATTCTGTACCTCCTTCCATTCCAGGGACCCCAAGAGGCCTGGCTCCGCTTGCCCAGTGCACCTCCGAAGAAGGGAGACTGGGAGATGAGGATCCTGCCAGGGGGCCAGGTGTTGGACAAGGTGAATGTGAATGTGGAGGAGAAAGACAGAGGCCTCCCAAGAACCTGATGGGGTCGGGGATGAGGTGAGGGTGCTCAGAAAAGTGCTGAGGCAGGCTCCAGGCTGGGGCCACAGACCGGCCTCAGCAGCTGGGGGCTGACTTCTTGGGGTTGCGTTCTGCCTCCCCCTCCCACACACGGCTCTTTGCCCTCTAGAGGCCAAGGGGCAATGGCAGGTTCACAGTGGCACTGCAAGGTTAGGGTTGTTGGGGGTTCTTAGGGAGCAGGGGCACCAGTCCTGCTATGGCCCTGGCTGCCCCCACCTTGCCCAGGCTCCATGTGCACCCTCAGAGTCCCCCTGGCACAACCTTTCTTCTTCCCACGAGGAACACCCCAACTCCCACTTGGGCCTCTGCCAGGAAGGGTGGGAGCTCTGCCAAGGTGTCCCTCTGAGTGACCACCCTCAGCTGGAGCCACCAGCCACGCCTCTGCACAGGAGCTGCCCCTGGGCCTTGTGTGTAAAATGGGGGTAATAACAGTATCTGCCTCATAAGGTTGCTGCAAGAATTAAATGAGTTCATACAAGTGAAAGGCACTTAGAACCAGGATCCAGAGGCTTGCAAGGGGTGAGCTGGAGTAGCCATGGTAAGTATGGAGAGGGAGGTGAACTGATGGATATAAAATCGCCAAGGCAAAAAATTTAAAAACAAAAACAATAACCAGCTGGGCTTGGTGGCTCATGCCTGTAATTCCAGCGCTTTGGGAGGCGCAGCAGAAGCATCACTTGAGTCCAGGAGTTTGAGATCAATCTGGGCAACACAGTGAGACCACATCTCTAAAAAAAAAATAATCGCTAAGGCAAGAACTTAGTACACTGTAGGCATTCCCTAAGTGTTTATAATTTTTATTCCAATTATATAAAAATAAAATATATTTGAATAGAAACAGAACTCTAGAAGGCAATAACAAGTAATAGTAACTGATTATCTTTTAAAATACTATAAGGTAGGACTACAAGTGGTTTCCTTTTTTTTTTTTTGAGACGGAGTCTCGCTCAGCTGCCCAGGCTGGGGTGCAATGGAGCAATCTCAGCTCACTGCAACCTCTGCGCTCCCGGGTTCAAGTGATTCTCCTCTCTCAGCCTCCCGAATAGCTGGGATTACAGGCACCTGCCCGCCTGGCTAATTTTTAAATTTTAGTACAGATGGGTTTTCACCATGTTGGCCAGGCTGGTCTTGAACTCCTGACCTCAGGGGATCCGCCTGCCTCAGCCTCCCAAATTGCTAGGATTTCAGGCATAAGCCACCGCACCTGGCCTTTTTTTTTTTCTTTTTTATACCATTCTGTGATTTAAACTTTTCTATAATGCACATATATTAGTTTTATAATCAGGGAAGAAAAATCAATGTTTTCTTTAATGCTGAGTTTTGTTAATATTTCTGATATTTCATAAAACATCTTTTGTTGACATTCTACAAATGATACCATCCAATAATGTCCCAATACTTTCTTCTTGTGAAGACAGTTTATATATCTGTAAAAATGAAAGACAAATTATGACTTGCTGATATCGTCATTCACTACTAATTGTCATTATACAAACATGTGTAAGTGAAATTATTCCTCATTCAATTATTGGGTTCATAGTATAACAAACAACAAATGTGATTAAAATATTCCAAGTAGATGGCAATTCATTACTTGTATTCCCTTTAAATTGCTGCTAGGGGGGTAACTCTCAAGAACATAAAAACCAAATTTCTATCCATTTTAAAAGCACATATCTAGATATTAACTTCATACTAAATTTATTTTACATTTTAAATATACTATGTAAGTTTGATATTGAAAGGTATTCTCTTTCTTAATGTGGAGAATGGTTATATCAGCTGAATTTGTAATTATATTTTACATAAACCCACACCTCCCAGTTCTTTGTATCTAAAATTATTTTTTAGTAATTTTAAAAATTAGATTAACTTTCTCAAAAGTTCAAAAAACAAGGAGCCCTGGTGATGAATAAGCAAACAGTATCAGCATTATTGCTCATCTGTCACACTCTTTCTACAAGTATGGACTGGCAAACAAACCTTTTGGACTTCCGTAATATTTGTTATCTCAGGAAGACTTTTCAGAGAAACCTGATGACCTTCCACTTGAGATATTAGGTATTCTTGATTTATTTGTTTTTCTCCCTCTTCAATGTAAACAATTAGAATTGAAGTGTCATTTGCTGAGATACCAAATTTTTTCAAAGCCTCTGAAATCTAAGAGAAAAAAAATGAAAAAAAAAAAAAGATAATTAACCATTGTTTCCTATGTCTGAAACATTTCCTGATCTGCCTTCTTCCTTGGTCAGGCTCTTATTTTTCATGTCCTAAAAGTTCTCACTGCCTAGTTTCTCACTTTGATGATTACTTTCCAACATCCATTAGTACTTCCTCAAAAGCACTCCCTGCTTAAAGTTATGCCTTGTTCCTATGGAATCAAGCCCAGCCTCTTGGTGCTGCACAAAAAAACATCTCCTCCCTCTGGTGCCAAGTGGCTCTCCAGTCAGGCACTTCTGCCTCCTGGCCAGTCTGGCCTGCCTGGGGGTCCAGTCACATTTCATGCCCTTCTGCCTGTGCTCAAGCTTTGTCCTCTGCTCGCATGTCCCCTCTCCCCATGGCTTGGCTGCTGAACACAAGCTTCAAGGTCCACATTTCTAATGCCACTCCCCACCACACCCTCCTCCCTCCAAAATGAATGGCTTCATTGCTGTACCCCTAGATTTGAATTCATTTTTCCATTATATCATTTATCTCAGGGCATTTTAACTTGTTTATCTGCCTCTCCTCAGGAACATATTTGCCTCTTCTGCCCCTAGAACTGCAAATGGAACAGGGAAAATTTCAACAGACGTTTACTGAATTCAAGAGTTTTCTGAATTACGTCTAATGATCTCAAGGAAACAATAATTAGTAAATTTTATTCCAAGTACTGGGAAACTCTATTACCATGCTGAGATAACTGCATTTTATAAACTTTACAATCATCTGTATTTTTTTTTTTTTTTGAGACGGAGTCTCGCTCTGTCGCCCGGGCTGGAGTGCAGTGGCCGGATCTCAGCTCACTGCAAGCTTCGCCTCCCGGGTTTACGCCATTCTCCTGCCTCAGCCTCCCGAGTAACTGGGACTACAGGCGCCCGCCACCTCACCCGGCTAGTTTTTTGTATTTTTTTAGTAGAGACGGGGTTTCACCGTGTTAGCCAGGATGGTCTCGATCTCCTGACCTCGTGATCCGCCCATCTCGGCCTCCCAAAGTGCTGGGATTACAGGCTTGAGCCACCGTGCCCAGCAATCATCTGTATTTTAACCTATGCCACAGGTTTCGCAACTTTTCTCTAGATGACATTAGTACCTGGTTGTTATTAATAGCAGCAGTAACACTAAAAATTCATCAGCAAAATTGCAGTCATTTTTTTCATATGATACATGTATGATGTCTTTGGCTTGATGACTTTCATTGAAAAAGCATTACTGGCCGTTCAGCCTCAACTCTCTGTCCAGAGCTCTCTTCACTATTATTTTGGTTTATTACTAACCACTGGCTTGCAGGAATTTAGCCTCCAACCCTGAGGAACACATATGTTATTATGACAAGGTCAACAGAAATAGGAAAGTCTACATTACATTGTTATTTGGGGAAAGGTTGAAAATAATTTCAGTAGATAGAGTTCTTGTCTTCATTTTTCCCAGTTTGTAGAGGTGAACTGCTTTGTTTGCTGCCACAAGTATCTGAAATGGATCGACAATCTACCAAAGAGAGCAGAAAGAATTAATTACACATAGAGAATCTGCAGTGCTTGAAAACACATGGTAACTCATGGTTAACTCCAGTGTCAAGCTGGTTTACTTCATCACAATTCTTGTGGTCTGTATTTTCAAAACTATTATCCCAGCTGGGCGCGGTGGCTCACACCTGTAATCCCAGCACTTTGGGAGGCCAAGGCGGGCGGGTCACCTGAGGTCAGGAGTTCAAGACCAGCCTGGCCAACACAGTGAAACTGTATCTCTACTAAAAATACAAAAATTAGGTGTGGTATCACGCACCTGTAATCCCAGCTACTCAGGAGGCTGAGGCAGGAGAATTGCTTAAACCCAGGAGGCGGAGGCTGCAGTGAGCTGAGATTGCACCATTGCACTCCAGCCTGGGCAACAAGAGTGAAACTCTGTCTCAAAACAAAAACAAAAACAAAAACAAACTATTATCCCAAGGGCTTGGGTAGTCAGAAAATCACAGAATTTTAAAGCTGCAAGGAACTTATGCAAATAGTAAAATTTTTTAAAATAACATTAATTGAGGGCTAATATTATGGGCATGATCATATTCCAAACATTTTACTTGTGTTATTTTCTTTAATCCTCAAAACTACCCTATGAAACTGATACTATTAGTAGTAGTAGTAGTATGTAATTGATGACGAAATTGAGGCAAAGAATGTCTGAGTTTGAATCCCATCTCTGCCACCTATCACCTAGGGAACTTAGGCAAGTTCCTTAGCATTTTATTTGTTAGAGACACATGAAACAGTATTTACTCCATAGGCTGTTGTGAAGATTAAGCGAGTTAGTATATGTAAAGCACTTGGAACAATACTAGGAATGCAGTAAGCACTATATAAAGGTTGGCTATGTCTTGTTCAAAGTCCTAAGTAGTAGGTCTGGGATTAATTCCCGGTAACATGATCCCACTGCGTGTGCTTTTTTATTTATTTATTTATTTTTTGAGACAGAGTCTCGCTCCATCGCCCAGGCTGGAATGCAGTGGCTCAATCTCAGCTCACTGCAACCTCCGCCTCCCAGGTTCAAGCGATTCTTGTGCCTCAGCCTTCCGAGTAGCTGGGACTACCAGCACACACCACCATGCCCAGCTACTTTTTGTATTTTTAGTAGAGACAGGGTTTCACTATGTAGGCCACACTGGTCTCAAACTCCTGGCCTCGAGCAATCCACACCCCTTGGCCTCTGTGTGTGCTCTTAACCACTACACTATGCCTCCTCTACAGACTGTCTTGTTAAGAACCCCCATTTTAAAGATGAGAAGCTGGAGATCCAGGTATTTCCCATGTTAGACTCAGACCACAACCTTTCCTCCTTCCTAGGGCAGGACCTGGCACTTCTGCCTCTATTCACTGTTATAGTCCAGGTTGGCTGCATCTGACTTGGACAAGAATTTTTTCCCTAACAGTGACAGAATTTTAGGCTACCCTATAACATCACAAATATTAATGTATACTTAAATGGCCTGTATGGTTCATTCATTGTTTTTTTGTTTCTTTGTTTTGTTTTAGTTTGAGACGGAGTCTTGCTCTGTTGCCCAGGCTGGAGTGCAGTGGCGTGATCTCGGCTCACTGCAACCTCTGCCTCCCAGGCTCAAGCGATTATCCTGCCTCAGCCTCCCAAGTACAGGTGCCCGCCACCACGCTCAGCTAATTTTTGTATTTTTAGTAGAGACGAGGTTTCACCATATTGGCCAGGCTGGTCTCAAACTCCAGACCTCATGATCTGCCCGCCTCGGCCTCCCAAAATGCTGGGATTACAGCCGTGAGCCACCACGCCTGGTCTTTATTTTTTTTTTTTTTTTTTTGAAACAGTTTCGCTCTTGTCGCCCAGGCTGGAGTGCAATGGCGCAATCTTGACTCACCGTAACCTCCGCCTCCCGGGTTCAAATGATTCTCCTGCCTCAGCCTCCCGAGTAGCTGGGATTATAGGCACCCGCCACCACGTCCAGCTAATTTTTGTATTTTTAGTTGAGACAGGGTTTCACTATGTTGGCCAGGCTTGTCTTCAACTCCTGACCTCAGGTGATCCACCCACCTCCGCCTCCTAAAGTGCTGGGATTATGGGCGTGAGCCACCGTACCCAGCCAGCTCATTTATTCTTACAATTTATATTTACCACTGTAGGATTTATCAGCGATCCATCGATGGTGCCTTCCATGGCCTTTCTTCTCAAGTCTCCCGCATTTTTTACATCTTTAAATAACAGAAGGGTTACCCTGCATTCGGGAAATAGGTCCAGCTGATATGTTAACTGCATTTCACAGATGAGGATTCTACTGCACACAAAATGAAAAGACCAAAAGATTTCGTTTGTTTAAAAGTTAACATTATAACTCATTTCTTAACAAATATTCAATAACTAAAGTTTTAAACTAGAAAAATCCATCGCCAAAGCCCATTTGGCATCCTCATGAGATGTTGTCTTCCTAACCCTTCTGAGCTGTTTCTAGTTCCATTGCCATTCCCAGGGAAATGCCAAGGGGCCCAGGTGGTTGCTGTTTGTTCAGATGAGGCAGGCTCAGATGGATGGTTGAAGGGCTGCTTCCCCAGCAGACAAGCAGGAGCAGAATGTCAGGAATTTTTTAAACCAGAGGTTACTTATGGTATTAATGAAGTCTTACTCTATCTTAGTCTTTTTAAATTCCTGATCTCATCATTTTATTTATATTTTAGGAAGGCCTAGACATAAATATTAAGGAAGAAAATAATTTTAAAGAATAAAGTAGGCCGGGCATGGTGCTCACGCCTGTAATCCCAGCACTCTGGGAGGCCAAGGAGAGCAGATCACCTGAGGTAGGGAATTTGAGACCAGTCTGACCAACATGGAGAAACTCTATCTCTACTAAAAATACCAAAAAAATTAGCCAGGCATGGTGGCGCATGCCTGTAATCACAGCTACTCAGGAGGCTGAGGCAGGAGAATCACTTGAACCTGGGAGGCGGAGGTTGCAGTGAGCCGAGATTGCACCATTGCACTCCAGCCTGGGCAACAAGAGTGAAACTCAGTCTCAAAAAAAAAAAATAAAGTATCACACTTGACCCAAAGATATTAATTCCACACATGGAAATTAAGCAGAGAGGGTATTAAATAATCAATATTGCTCCTTTCTTGGACATAAGCTTAACAAGAAAAGGATAGGTTATTATATATAAAGACATAAAAGACAATTTGAATAACTAGAAAGACATGACCATATCTTTGAATGGAAAAACTATGTATTGCAAAAATTTCTTTAAAACAAGTTCTATCAAATTCTTAATAAGATATTTTGGTGGGGCAATTTGAGACTCATTTTATCCTTTTACCTGGAAGATTATATTTCTAGAATTCTTTCTGATGGAAGTCATTAGGAATCCAAGAATTATATAAGATGTTCCTCTCATTATTTTAACAGTAAAAAGTTGAAAATAACCTATCTAGCTAACGATGGGATTGGTTGTGATTTAACAACCATTAAAACATGTGGTCTTGACGTTGTGTACAAATGGCAATAAATAACATTAAGTAAAAACATCTGAATGGAAAACAAAATACAAACTGGCCAAAATGTGGGTTTTTAAAAAAGCTTTTAAACAAATATTAAAAAGAAAACACACCAAAAAGCTAACGTTATCTCTTACTTAGAATTAACTTGACTTTTCCTGCTACAAACAGGAAAAAAAATACTTGTGAACAATATCCTGGCCACAGTTCAATCATTACTCATGCTAAGAGGAAAAAAATGGATACACGAAGACATAATCAGTAGGATCCCAATATATAAAAAGATACACATATTTTTTAAAAACACATGAAGGAAACACTAAAATATGACCATCTTAGGTAGTGATGTTATGAGGTGATTTTTATTGTCCTTTATACAAAAGAAAGTATTTTGTTATGTATGTTCTGAATTTTCTACAGTGAGCATACAAAACATGAGTAGACATAATAAGAAAGGAAAGCGCGGTGGCTCAAGCCTGTAATCCCAGCACTTTGGGAGGCCGAGACGGGCGGATCACGAGGTCAAGAGATCGAGACCATCCTGGCTAACCTGGTGAAACCCTGTCTCTACTAAAAAAATACAAAAAACTAGCCGGGCGAGGTGGCGGGCGCCTGTAGTTCCAGCTACTCGGGAGGCTGAGGCAGGAGAATGGCGTAACCCGGGAGGTGGAGCTTGCAGTGAGCTGAGATCCGGCCACTGCACTCCAGCCTGGGCGACAGAGCGAGACTCTGTCTCAAAAAAAAAAAGAAAGAAAGAAAGAAAGGAAAAAAAAATGTGGTTTTTAACACTGGGGATGGGGGGAAGAATCCTTAGAAAAACCTCAAAATAGTTTGTTCTTGTTTAGCGTAATTCACTCAGTACAGAAACTTGGAATCATCGTTGAGTACCCAACCTGTCATTCAAATCCTATATCTAATCCGTAAAATCCTGAATTTTCACCTGCTAAATATACTTTTGATTCGTCCACTTATCTCCCATACGCTAGGTCACACCGCTCATCTACAGCAGTAGCCTCCTGAGTGGTTTCTCACAATTCCTGCCCTCCTATAATCCAGCCTTCACCCGCAGTTCTAGCGATCCTTTCAAAATGACCATCAGATCTTGCCATTCTGCTGCTCTTATGATAAACCCCCAACTTTGTGTCACAGTGTTCCATACTCTACGATCTGGTCCCTGCCTCCCTCTTCTGCTACCACCGCAATGGCCTTCTCTAAGCTCAAGTCACCAAGCTTTCTCCCCGACTCTGCCCTATCGGACAGGTAGTTCCCTCTCTCCTTTCATCTCCGCCTGACGCACTCCTCCCTCCCTTCAACTCCATTTGGAGTCATTTACTACAGCGCCCAGAACTCCGGGACTACGGCTCTTTTTAGTCTGAGGACTAGCTCCTTTTTGGGCCCAATCACAACTTTAAAGAATCGTGCACCTATCCGTTGCATGTCTCCTCACTAAACTATATTTCTTGAGGGGACAGACAGACAGACTATCATTCTCGTGCTGCATTCCCAGGGGCTGGCCTCATTGGCGCTTGATAAATACCAGCTTAAGAACCCGCAGCCATAGTCCCAAGGACATTACTAAATCTGCCCGAACCCTCCCCTCCCGAGCCGCCCCGTAAGTGGGCAAGGAAAACTCACCAGCCGGCCCCCAGTGCGTCTCGGAAGATCTCCCGCTCGGAAACAAAGCTCACAACTTCCGGAAGCGATGGCCAATCCCCGTCGTCTTCGAGCCAGTTTCCAGATAGGCCGGCTCGGGGTGGCCATGTTTTTCCGGGTCCCGGTAGGAAGAGTGCTTCCGCCCATCGTCCCGCCCATTCTTCCGCCCTCCCAGCCTCGGTCCGGTCAAGGGACGCGAAGGAGAATAGGGGCTGTATATCACTTCCGGCGAAGGCAATGGCAGCATATATGGGCTGGCACCGGAAGCTGAGGTCCGGTTTTGAGTCTCGGCTTTGTCTTAATCTGTGTTGGGCGTTGCACCGGGCTTCCTCAGTTTCTTCCTGTACAAGGAAAAGTACTGACCAAAATGAGTTTTACATACATTTCCGCTGCTCGAGATTTCTTTTTTGTTGTTGTTGTTTGTTTTTTGAGACAGAGCCTCGCTTTGTTACTCAGGCTGGAGTGCAGTGGCGCAATCTCGGCTCACTGCTACCTCCGCCTCCGGGTTCAAGTCATTCTCCTGCCTCAGCCTCCCAAGCAGCTGGGACTACAGGCGGGTACCACCATACCCGGCTAATTTTTTGTATTTTTAGTAGAGACGGGGTTTCACCATGTTAGCCAGGATGGTCTGGATCACCTGATCTCGTGATCCGCCGCCTTGGCCTCCCAAAATTATGGGATTACAGGCGTGAACCGCCGCGCCCCACTGAGATTTCTACGTTCTTTTTCTGGGCCTTGTCTCCTGTGACACTTTGGACTTTGGACTTTTGAGTTTAATGCTAGAACAAGTTAAAACTTTGGGGGATGATTGGAAAGTCATGATTATGTTTTGCAATGTGAGAAGGACATGAGATTTGGGGGTCCAGGGATGAATTGATACAGTTTGAATATATGTCCCTGCCAAATCTCATGTTGAATTGTGATCCCCAGTGTTGGAGGTGGGACCTGATGGGAGGTGTTTGGGTCATGTAGGTGGATCTCTTATGGCTTGGTGTCTTTGCAATAGTGAGTGAGTTCTAGGGAGATCTGGTTCTTTAGAAGTGTGTGGCACCCCCGAACACACACTGTCTCTTGCTCCAGTTCTCACCGTGTGATGTGCCTGCTCGCCCTTCTCCTTCTGCCAAAAGTAAAAGCTCCCTAGGGCCTCCTCAGAAGTCAAACAGATACTGGTACTATGCTTCCTGTACAGCCTGCAGAACCATGAGCCAATTTAACCTGGTTTCTATATAAATTACTCAGTCTCAGATATTTCTTTGTAGCAATGCAAGAACAGCCTAATTGTGGGGGGCGGGGCGGGGGAAAAAGATGGGGAGGCATGACACATCGGGCTAAAACATGAAGGACATTCGGACGGACGTGGTGGCTCACTCTTGTAATCTCAATACTTTGGGAGGCCAAGGTGGGCGGATCACCTCAGGTCGGGAGTTCTAGACCAGCTTGACTAACATGGAGAAACCCTGTCTCTACTAAAAAATAAAAAAATTAGCCAGGCATGGTGGCACATACCTGTAATGCCAGCAACTCGAGAGACTGAAGCAGGCGAATCGCTCGAACCTTTGAGGTAGAGGTTGCCGTGAGCCGAGATCGTGCCATTGCACTCCAGCCTGGACAACAAGAGTGAAACTCCCTCTAAAAATATATATATACACACACATACATATATATGTGTGTGTGTGTATATATATGTATGTATATATATAAAGGACATTCTATTTCTAGGACAGACTGGAACAAGGCCCTGGCTGTTCTGGTTAGTCTGTCTTTATCACAGGATGCTACATTCCCAGCACATTCTACAGTTATCCTAGAGAACCACAAGTGAGAAAGGAGAAAGAACTAAGTTTGTCCAAGGCCACCTGGAGAACTATCCTGCAGTCTATGCCCTTAACCCAGATTATCCCCCTTAGCACAGCTAGTCCATTACATATGCCCACCAACCTCCTAGTACCTGGAGGCGGAGGTTTGTCTTCTCAAATTGACTTAACACCTTGACAGACACAATGTCAGTGCAACATTGTTGAGCCATAGCCAGAATACATTTTACTAGGCCCAGGAGGACTACTCCACAAACAGGCTGATCGGGTCTGCCTGGAGAAGCAACCTAGTCCAGGATCCAGCGATCCAGGTAAGAAGTTGCTAAAGAGGTCAAAAAAGGGTCCTTAAGGGAGCCCCAATATCTGCAGCAAGTGGGCTTCCTCCCGGATCTCCCCTACTTTTCTGCAGTACATTAGGTGTTCACTAGGTACCGTAGCAGCTACTGGCAATCGAACACACTTCTCCCAGTTTGGTAAATGGAAATCTAAAGTAATTCCTTTGTTTAATACAATCCTCTTGGCCAGGTGTGCTGGCTCATGCTTGTAATCCCAGTGCTTTGGGAAGCTGAAATAGGGGGATTGCTTGAGGCCAAGAGTTCAAGACCAGCCTGGGCAAAATAGTGAGGCCCCCATCTCTCCAAAATATTAAGAAAAATAGCCAAGTGTGGTGGTGTGCACCTGCAGTCAGATCTACTCAGGAGGCTCAGGTGGGAGGATCACTTGAGCCTAGGAGTTTGAGGTTACAGCGAGCTATGATCATGCCACTGCACTCCACTGCACTGCACTCCACTGCCACTGCACTGCACTCTGGGCAACAGCATAAAACCCCGTCTCAAAAAAAAAAAGAAAAAAAAAAATTCTCAAGGGAGTTGAGGGATGTCTGCTGGGCTGCCAAGGAAGTGGCAATAGAGGAAGCAATATCTGCCATGCTCAGGGACAGATTTCTTATCAATTTTTCCTGAGCACCGACTCCTATGTGTGCTACCAAAAATCTCAAAAAGAACACAAACCCAGAGCTGCTTACACCTCCTAGCAGGAGTCTAGTAAGCCTGGTGCACGACTTCAGGCTGCTGGCCCACTTGTATGACTTGTTTCAAGGAGTAATATCTAGGGACACCCCAGAATGCCCAGTATGCAGTATCCCACCGTTCATCAGCTTTTCAAGCATAACATTGCCCATACCGTATTTGGGTCACCTTGGACTGCCCACAGAGAAAAATGTAGCCCTCAGGTGCACATAGCATTCCTTCTCCCATTTTATTGTTCAGTAGCCCATTCATAGGTATGAAGGCATTGGCATTTGCCAGCCAGGTCTCAAATTAGTTATATGAACTTAGTTTCCCCCATTCAATATTGTTCATGAAGCCCCTACACAGAAAGCTAACAGTAGTCCAATTATTGTTTCCACTGTCAACACTGGGATGCTTCTCATCCAAGCAAAGGAATATAATGGGTCAAAAGTACTAGCCTACCAAGCTTTTATTACTTGTCATGATGTTTTGCCACCTTAGGCCAATTAAGTCTACCCTTAGGCCAATTAAGTCTCCCTCTCATGTGGCAGGTGCCAGATCCTCACTCAGTAAGCCAGGGCTCAGGTTCTGTTGATATTCACTGTGCCACTATAATACTGGTAGAGTTTACTACTGAGAAGGTTGCTGTAGCCTGTGACATGATGGGGTCTGGGATGACAGATCCAGCACTTCCCTTTGGTGGCCACAGCTTGGGAGAGCCTAACGAAGGCATTATGCTTCTAGGCCTCTGCTGTCACGTCCTTGTGGAAAAAGCAGACTGACAGGTTAGTGCCCCGCCCCCTACACTTCCTGCATCCTTGGGTATTCCCTGCCTATGTGATAGAGGTTGAGCTGAGTGTAGTGTCCCAGTCTGACTGCTGCAGTCCCGAAGACTACCCATTCCCCTTGTTGCATGACCCAGGCCTTTTGGCTTCAGTTATCCAGTCCGGGAAGGGAGGTTTGTCTTGTACAAACTTGACATGTCTGATAAGTTTACCCACCTGTATGGAAGGATCAGGTGTTCCTGGTGCCACTAACCATAGCACTCTGGTACTCCTTGGTCCTGTCCTGTATCCCTGTGGATTTCATAGAAGAGAGGCACCTGGGGGAAGTATTACCTCTAGATTAGAGTCAGGGGGCCCTGTCTGAGGTGCTCTGGCAGCTTGAACCACCGACCACCTACAGGATGTGCACTCTAAATGGAGAAAGAAAAAAGAATGGTTGGGAACACTGAGATTGGAATTTCACAGGTGCAGCCTCATCAGGCAGTCACCTGGTCCACCTCTATCCACACCAAGCTCAGTATTTCTCAAGATGTGTGCAGTGCTGTGTTTCCCTTGTACTGGAGTACAGTGCTTAGTGTCCATGCCGTCCTAGTCGAATCGAGGTGCCACCCCAATAGCAGGCTGTCCTGATGTCCTTTATTCAGTTGCTTTGTGAGTTGGCTGGTCCATCATTCAATGGCTCCATTGGCCTGTGGATGACAGAGTGCATGGAAAACCCATTGTATTGCATGAGAGTATGCCCACTGTCATGTTGCTTGGGCAGTGAGGATTTTCCTTGGTCAGAGTGAAGTCCCATGGGGTATCCAAAAACATAAGTCCTCTCAAGAGCAGCTATGGTAGTCAGAGCATCCACATGAGTCGCATATAGAGTCCCTTCCAACAGCAAGCTGTTGCCATAGCCCTTGTCCCCACACATGGAATATTTTAATAGTCCAATCACTGCTGCCATTCCCCTGACCAGATGGCTAGGCTGTTGGCAATGGCCCCATGAGTCAGTAAAAATGTGGCAAGATATGGTGGTAGGTGAGCGGGGATGTGCCCCACTGTTATGGCTGAAATCCTTAGCTGTTAGGGGTCATAGCCCCTCTGGTGGCAGTGATGTTCTGTGCCACAAGCAACCAAAATGTCAATGCCTATAAAGCACTCAGTGGTGGGAACCATGGTCACTGACACTTGAAATGGCCCAGAGGGCTCCACCTACAAGCAGAGAAGCACCACAAGCAGATAAACACTATGTGTCACTGAGTCCATCCCCAAACTTCCTGCTTAATTTTTCCCCTAAAGGAACCTGGAAATACTGTCATGTGGCCTTCAGTATCCAAGAACTCCAAAGAAGTCAGAATTTCTATCTTTCCCCATTTTATCTTTTTTTTTTCTTGAGACAGGGTTTCTCACTGTTGCCCAGGTTGGAGGGCAGCCTCAACCTCCCAGGTTCAGACAATCCTCCAGCCTCAGCCTCCCACATAGCTGGGACTATGGGAAGCACACCACCACGCGTGGGTAATTTTTAAATTTTTTGTAGAGACAAGGTCTCACATTGTTGCTTTGGCTGTTCTTTAACTCTTGGGCTCAAGGGATCCTCCTGCCTTGGCCCCACAAAGTACTGGAATTAGGTATGAGCCACTGCACCTGGCCCCATTTTATCTTGATAAGAGTATAGAGCCATTGGCCTCTGGTGGGGATCCAGAGACCATAGCCCCATTCCTACCTGTGCCATTCAGCCCAAGACATTTGGGTTTGCAATGTCCCTTTATCAAATATATTCATCAACCAGGATGCACGTGACTTCCTTGGCCTTTCTCCATGTCTGAGACTGTGGTCCTTTAGACCTGAGTCTCCCTTTCTGTGATGGGTCACACTGTGCATGTGAGTTCCTCTCAGAAGCTTCAGGGACTGTGTAAGTACCTCATCCCTCTTCTTTCTCTTAAGTGCCTTAGGGTATGTTTGAGTCCCCAATCGCCAGCCCTGGAAATAAGCAATCACATAAGTGGCTAACAACCAAGGGATCCTGTGTAGTATTTCAGTTCCACCTTACTCTCTCTCTGCTTCCACCCATTCAGCCAGCTCAGTCACATCCACAGGGTGTGTTTGCATGTGACCTAAGGTCCCACGTATCACCCCTCCTTTCCCATAAAACGTGCCGCTCCAAGTCCAGCCTCTGCACCCGCAGGTTGACATCACTACCTCCTTTCACCAGGAAAACATGGTTCTGTCAGACTGAACTCGGTTCACTGTGCTAATTTTGTGAAGCAGGCTCATTGTACACTGGTTATCAACTTGCCTGAGTCCAATGAGATGGTGAGATGGAACGCCCACACACAAGTTACATGAGTGGGTTTATTACTTACAGATTGGCCCTGAGGCACAACAGAAGCCTGGAATTCACTGTGAGCCGATCTCCCAAGGCTCAAGAAAGCTACTGAGGGTGGATGGATTCTCACAAGTGGGGCATGTGTTCCACTTGCACTGCAGACGAGGGACACCAGAAAGCAGCCGGCACTGGATTTAATACCCTGGGGGACCACATGACACACTAGGCAAAAGTGTTGGCGGATGTCTTGTTTCTCAGAGGCAGACTGGAACAGAGAGAGCCTGAGCTGTTCTTGTCAGTTCCTCTTTATCGCAGGATGTTGCATTCCCAGCACATTCTACAGTCATTTTTGAGAACACAAGTGAGAAAGAGGGAAGAACTGGGCGAGTCCAAAGTCACCCGGAGAACTGTCCTGCAGCTTGTTCTTGAATGTTCAGATCAACTTTACCCATAATAGCCAAAAACTGGAAATAACCAATGCCCAACAATACACTGATAAACACATTGTGGTAAATTCATACAGCGAGATACCACTCAGTACTGAACAGGAATGAACTGCAGATACTTCCAACAATACTTGCAACATGGATGAGTCTTTAAAATGTGCTCAGCAAAATGACAATCTAAAATTAATTACTAGGCCAGGCGCGGTGGCTCAAGTCTGTAATCCCAGCACTTTGGGAGGCCCCAGGCGGGAAGATCACCTGAGGTCAGGAGTTCGAGACCAGCCTGGCCAACAGGGTGAAGCCCTGTTTCTACCAAAAAATACAAAAATTAGCCCGGTGTGGTGGTGGGCACTGTAATCCCAGCTACTCAGGAGGCTGAGGCAGGAGAATTGCTTCAACCCGGGAGGCAGAGGTTGCAGTGAGCCGAGATCATGCCACTGCACTCCAGCGTGGACGACAGAGCGAGACTCTGTCTCAAAATAAATAAAATGAAATAAAATAAATTACTAGATGATTCCATTTCTACAAAATGCTAGGGATTACAGATTTATTACGGAGTGACTGAAAGCAAATCAGTGGTTGCTTGGAATGGGGAAGTAGGAGACAGTGACTGGAAAGGATCCAAAGGGAACCTTTAGGGTGAAGCCAATGTTCTATATCTTGATGTGATGGCAGTTACAAGGAAGTATGAATTTGTTACAATTCATCAAATTAGATGCACTTTAGAACAGTATATTATATATATAATATATTTTAATGTATTTTTAAATATATATATATTTTTAATTTTATTTATTTTTTTTCTGAAACAGAGTCTTGCTTTATCACCCAGGCTGGAGTGCAGTGGCATGGTCTTGGCTCACTGCAACCTCTTCCTCCCAAGTTCAAGCGATTTTCCTGCCTCACCCTCCTGAGTAGTTGGGATTACAGGTGTGCCACCACGCCTGGCTAATTTTTGTATTTTTAGTAGAGACAGGGTTTCACCATGTTAGCCAGGCTGGTCTCGAACTCCTGACCTGAGATGATCCGCTCGTCTTGGCCTCCCAAAGTGCTGAGATTACAGGCATGAGCCACTGTGCCCGACCTGGAAGAGTATATTTTATAAACTACAAATTATGCCTCAATAAAGTTGATTTAAAAGCAGACATAAAAATTGTTGTCTCATATCAAGCCAAGTCCCATGGAATAAAAAGAAAATAGTTGTCTTGGCCAGGCGTGGTGGCTCATGCCTGTAATCCCAGCACTTTGGGGGGCCGAGGCAGGTGGATCACCTGAGGTCAGGAATTCGAGATCAGCTTGGCAAGCATGGTGAAACCCTGCCTCTACTAAAAATACAAAATTAGCTGCACATGGTGGCGCATGCCTGTAATGCCAGCTACTCAGAAGGCTGAGGCAGGAGAATCGCTCGAAACCAGGAGGCGGAGGTTGCAGTGAGCCAGAATTGCACCACTGCACCCCAGTGTGGGTGACAGAGTGAGACTCCGTCTCCAAAAAAAAAAAAAAAATTGTCTCAGTTCATAGCAGCTTGTTTCTAACTATTAAAAGCTGGAAACAACCCAAACATTCAAGTGAATGGATAAACAAATTGTCACAATCCATACAATGACTGCAACTCAGCCATAAAAAGAAGTCAGCTATTGCTATATACAGCAACACGGATGAATCTCAAAATAATTATGCCAAATAAAAGAAGCTAGACATAAAAAGAGTGCATACTGTATGATTCTGTTATGGAAAACGACTACGGTGACAGCAGATCAGTGGTTGCTTGAGTAAGGGTTCTGGGATGGAAAGAGAGGATTACAAAGGAGCATGGGGTAACTGTGGGGTAATAGATGTGTTCTACCTTGATTATGGTAATGGCTTCATGGATGTGTATATGTCAAGTGAATCTAATTGTATGCTTATAAAAATATACAGCATATTGCACGTCAATTGTCTTTCTAAGGCTGTTTAAGAAACACAATACACTACATGTTTTTATTGGAACAGCTAAAATTTAGAAAAACTGACAACACTAAGTACTGGAGAGGATGTGAGCAACTGGAGCTCTCATATCTTATTCATGGGGATGCCATGTAATACAGACATTTTGCAAAAGTTTGGGAGTTCCTTACAAAATTAAACATACACTTACCCCACAACAGCAATCCCAGTACAAGAGAAATAAAAACAGTTCACACGAAAAAACTCTATGCAAATGTTTATGGCAGCTTTGTTCAAAATTCAAATATTGGTAAATAACCCAAATATCCTTCAACTAGTAGATGGAAAACAAATTGTGGTATATCCACAACATACTCAGCAACAAACGGGAATGAACTGTTGATCTACTCAGCAACATGGATGAATGTCAAAAGCATTATGCTAAATTAAAGAAGCCACATTCGAAAGGCTACATACTCTGTTATTCCATTTACACAACATTCTAGAAAAGGCAAAACTATAGGGACAGAAAATAGGTCAGCATATGCCAAAGTCTGGGGTTGGTGGAAATGGATTGCTACAAAATGCCATGAAGAATTTTAAGGGATGACGGAATGGTTATATATTTTGATT